AACATGGGGCCAGTAACTGTAAGAACTCTGGATGCCATCTGTGAAGCATAGGCGGCAGTGTAGGGGAAGTACGAAGCCACAGATAGTGCCCCCTGGCATTGGGGCAAGGAAATGGGCAGCCTCCTGCTTAATTAACAACAATTAATTAATTAATATCAAGGCATGGCAGGCAAGAAGGCACGCAGTTGGCCCAGAAACAGGTGGGTGGGCCAAAGGCAAACTGGCCCCGAGATGGCCCTCTGTTACATAAGCGTTTTGTGTGTGTGTGTGTGTGTGTGTGTGTGTGTGTGTGTGTGTGTGTGTGTGTGTGTGTGTGTGTGTGTGTGTGAGAGAGAGAGAGAGAGAGAGAGAGAGAGAGAGTAATATATCTTCTACGTACAATATATCTTCTATCTGTAATATATTGGAAAGGTATATCTAATCCTTTCCAAGAAGAGAGACTAGCAAGAGACCGACTACTGGGAAGCCAGCCACTGCAGCCAGCCAGTACCTTTCACACACTGTTGCTTCCAGACAGAGCTCACAAAAGGCAGAGAAGGGCTTCACACAGAGGCTTATATATTGTTTCTCTGTCCCTCCCCCAGAGCACTGGGATTGGAAGACCTGTCCCTCAGGGACAGATCGCAGACACTAGCCAGCTACAGATGTCAAGATCAGAGCAGTCCTTCCCCCCTCTTTCTTCCCCCTCCTTCTTCTGAGTTTCTGTTTCCCCGCAAGTCTACCTCTGAAACATGCCAAAACTTCCAAAACATTCTGAAATATTTCAGATGGCTTCATTTTGTTTTGGAGATGTTTCAGAGCTTTTTGTTTCATTTTGGATTTGGTGTTTTGGGCACCAAATTGGGCCACAACACCTCTGAAATGAAATGGCTGCTGACATTTCACACAGTCCTAATGACTGGTAATTGTATGCCTTGGGGATCTATCTTAGCATTCTCAATTCTGGTTAGGAAAGAACTAGAAATGAGATTGTATCTGATAATCCAGGTCTGGTCTGACTCTGAATTTGACGCCTTGTGGTGGCAAGAAGCCCCTACAGACACCAAGGGGGCTGGGGGAAACCCCAAGAGCCCCCGTGGGGAACAAACAGACCCCCCACACCCCAGGAAACTTACCTTCTGGAGCACGGACAGAGGCAGAACAGAAGCCGCGGCTGTGTGAGCCAGCATTACACTGGCTCTTTTAACAGCTGAGCCCAAGGTGGGGGAGCACAAGGCTAACTGCAGTGGCTGGGAGAGAGAGAGACAACAGGAGCCCAGCCCTCTGGCACCAGGGTCTGGGGCTCCAGATGCCTTAACATCCAGGCAACTGACCGGTGCTGAAGCTGACACCAAACCCCTTAGTAAAGGGGCTTACAGGGAACAGCGGAACAACGAGACCAACGCCCAAGCAGTTGGCGAGTGGACAGGGTGTAGGGGAGGCAGAGCCCCAAGGAACATCGCGGTGTGAACATGAGTACCTCCGTCACCAGGTCACCCAAGAAAAGGAACACCACTGAACCCCTCCTTTCACCCAACAACTCATGGCAGGAGAGCTGAGGAGGCGCTCCAGTAAAGGGGGATGGTACAGTACTAACCACACCCACTAGAGATGCCACACCTGCTGTAACAGGATTGGGGGTGCTAAAGCACCAGTATGTGTGTTATACCTCTGTACTTCTGTATTGATCCAAATGTAGGAAAGCTATTGACATTTCAACCCTGTTTCATTCAGGGTTAAAGTTACAATGACTCGTATAACTACAGGAGCCTGCAGATATAACACTTGTATTGCAATAGCTGATATGCATTCTCATGTGGAAGCCCGCTGCCCCACTTTTAAAGCAATTAAAAAAGTACATTTGTCCATAGCCTCAGGATAAAAACCACACATTTCATTAGAGAGGTACACACCTTAAAGCATAAACAAGGCCTAATACATACCAGCTGTGATTAATAAACTCATAGCTGTTTACTTCAATAGATACACTTAGGGTCATAGGTACGTAATAGGAGTGGAAGGGACCTCACAAGGTCATTTAGTTCAGCACCCCACTCAAAGCAGGATCATCCCTGACTAAAACATCTGAGCCAAGTGTCTGTCCAACCTACTTTTGAAAATTTGCTCTTGAAAATTTCCAGGGATGGAGATTTGTTGCCAGCCATAACCAATTTCAAGGGGCCTGGGCTAAGCTGCAGAATGTTGCTAAGCAGAAGGCCCAAAGCCTGTTTCTGAGTAACTGTAGTGTGAACCTTTGCAGCTGTGACAACTAAATTGGTTAGCAAGTAAAGGTAGGCATCAAACACAATTAACAAAGCATAAGGCCTGAAAAGAGATAAGGGAAGACCGTACATTAAATAATCCATATACACTATATCATAGCTTTATCTTAAAATAGTAGCAGTAGTGGTTGATGTAACCAAATGTAAAAGATGTTATTTTGCTATATATTTTGTTAAAATGCTTAGAGCATTTGTAAAAACAAAAACAGCCTTGTCAGAGAAAATCATAAAGCAAGGTAAAAAAGAAACAGGAAAACATTCCACAATGGGGAAGGAAAGGAGATAAGAATCCCTCCCTCTATCTAAGTATATAAATCCCAACTAACTGCCACCTTCCAAGTCCAGAAGAGATCTGGTTCAGTTCAGTTCCAAAAGTTTCAGTTTAACAAATACACTTAAATACTACCAATCAGAGATCATTTATTAGAAGTAGCCACCTAGAAATATTGGGCATAGGTGGGAGGGAAATTTGGGGAACTTGGCAAATTCAAGAAGACCTGCTGTGCCACCCTCCTCCTACCTCTTGGGTTAATGTACCCAGCATGCTATTGCCGGTTGTTTTTGTCTGGTTGGTTTTTTTGCAACAAGAGGACATTTGGCTCATATTCAGATTCTGGTCCCCTGGAACCTCCAGGTCCTTCTCTGCCATACTGCAGCCTAGCTAGTCATTCTCCAGTCTGTATTTGTGCACCCAATTATTCTGTCCCAAGTACAGAACACTGTACCAGTCCTTAGTGAATTACAGCTGATTGATTATAGACCATTTATCCAGTTTATCTAGGTAATTCTGGATCATAGCCCTGACCCTCCAAAGTATCTGCAACTCCACCCAATTTGGTGTTATCCAAAAGTTGCATTCAATCCTGTCATCCAAATCATTAATAAAGATCTTAAACAAAACCAGACACAGGACAGACCCCATGTGATACCTTCTCCCAACTAGATATTGAGGATAATGGTTCAAGAAGCTTCTCAATTATTCTCAAGATCTTCCCTTTTAAGGACAATTTTAAGGACAATTACCATATTTACTTGAATCTAAGATGACCATGAATTTAAGATGACCCCCCCCAACAATTAGATTCTATATATGGAAAAATTATGTTTTTAAAATAATTTTTCAGGTATAAAATTTAATTATCAGAGGTTTGTCTTGAATTTGTCCCCCTCCCACGTCAACAGTAGGAAAAATTATGGCTGGGAGTCAGGTGACCCCTTTGGCTCTGCCCGACACCAACTTCTTCCACCTGCAGACCCTTTCCCACCCCTGTTCAGGCTCTGTTCCCTGAGCACATGGAATTGAGGGGAAAATTTGGAACACAAGAGACCACAAAACACTGACTTTGAAATAAACATACCTGTAGTAATTTGTATATCGGCAAATTACTATGGGTACTTATAGACTTTGTTCACCCAGAATTAATGTTTTTTCTTGTTTTGAAAACTCCTACACAGTTAAGCACAGATGTTTCACAACACATTTTTTGAGCAGCACTTCTACACTAACCTATAAATAATACAAACTGTGCATGATATTAGTCCAAAGCCAAAAGGCTCATGATTTTCCACACAGTTTACTGGACCAAGCCCCAAGAGACTGAACAGCATTTAAAGCCATGGTGACCTCACAGCTCAACACCACTCAGTATGTGTGTACCCCACAATGAATCCATATGATAATTAGCACCTCCACTCATTACTAGAACTGGGTGTTCTTGTCATGAGTCCTGGGATCCTCCAAAAATTTATATGAAGATGAGCCATGGGGCTGCCTGGTCTCTACCTCATAGAGGATGGGGCCACACCAATCACATGCAACAGGTGGAGAGAGGAGGAAATACAGCCTCTAATTTACACAGATGTTTCATGAAGTCTGACAGACATTTAAGGATGGTAAAGAAACAAATATTAGGAAATGGGAAAGAAAGGTGCTGTTCAGCTGTGGGAGAGAAGAGAAAGTTAAAATGCGTGTAATGTTGCAGCTCACCATCAGTTGAGAAAGAACTGGTGCTGAGGGGGACTGAATACAATGGGTTCTATATTTTATTCAGATGGACTGCACTAACTTAGGCTTGTGGTAGGTTCCATCAGCATCTCAGCCTTCTTGGCTCAGATCAAATATAGACAAGCTTTAACAGATCGTATCTAGCTGGTGTCAGTTGACAGAGTGCTATTGACTTCACAGCAGCCAAAGATCCAGCTCCTGATTTTCATTAGCATGAAGGAAAACTTTTTATTTAAAAAAAAAAAAAAGACAGGAAAATCAAAAAGCCTGTAAAAAAATAAATGACTCTCTCACATCAGAAGAGAATCCAGTAGTTTTGCTTCTATTCCTTCCCTGATTTCTTTGATCAGCCTTAGTAATTACCCTATGTTTAGTTGAACTCAGAAAGCTTTAATCTATATATAGCTGGTTGGGTCAGCAAAAATGAGTACTCTGATTTATCGCAAAAAGCTCCCCAGATAAAGCAGAAGCAAGAGCAGAAAGATAAATCAGTCCAACTCTGCTAAATCAAAAACAGTGATGTGCACTTGTAAAGCACTGGTACAGTGATGACAGAAGCCTGAAAGACACAGTTGAAACCAGCTTATATTTGTCCTGCCATATAGAAAACGTTTCTTAGTAATACCTTAGCAGCTCTGAATTAGCAGAATGTCTAGTACTTAGTTGCATGGCATACAGTGCTCTCTTGCAGTTTTGTCACATGCTGTCACTTATTATTTAGATGCTGTTCTTACCTCTGCAGCTAAGTAGTTCCCAGTTGCTAGATGTTTAAATCTGAACAAGCTATTCCATTGTCCTGCTCCTCCCCGGCATGGATCATGATGTACAACCTACCGGCAGAAATACAGATGGACAATCATACCAAGAAGCTTGAGGATCATACTTAAATACCTAGGTCATTGATAAGTTGCCTCGTGCATTCAGAGTAATTCTTAATTATGTTGAGATACTAATTATACTGCAGCTGCTCCTGACAATAGTCAATATACATTTATGTAAACTACATGATTAGAAATATTCTACAAGCAAGAGAAATCCTATGCATTACCACTTAACTGCCACAGATAACACCTGTTTATATTTACATCTCACTGTGCGCCACGAAGTGTACCTCCTTCCATGTTTCACATTTTAATTCATCTGCCAATGCAAACATTACAGGCCAAATTCTGCTCAGTGAACTGGATGGAGCAAATGCAGTTATTCTATATTTGTACAGGCATTAAGGAAAGCAAAATTTAATCTCTTTATTTCATCAGCTCTCACACAAAATTCCAGAACTCTATATAAACTTCACCAAAGTAAGTAATGACTGACTCAACAACCTCACTTCCATTTGAACTGAGAAGGATATTCTTCTTTGTATGTCCTTGACTGATCTTTCTAACTGCCTTCCAATGAGGTATTTCTGTTCTCCCAATCACAGGTCAAGTGACCCCTGCCTATGCAAGGCACACCACTGAAGTCCTTAACCAGGCAAAAAATAGGAGTTTGCTAGAGAAATGAACTGTCTGTTTTCAGTGCATAATATTTGTCCAGGATTCTGGATCCTGGGTAAAAGGAGTTTTGTGACTCAAGTAAAAAAGTAAAAAAAATAAAAGTTCTAATATATACTGGCAAGGTATCTGTATTCAGCGAAGTGTGTACATTTAACAAAATACATGGTCATGTAGACTCTCATGGCCAAATCTGAATCAGTCTTGTAGACAGAATTCCCCAAAGTCCTTTTTAGTAAGTGTCTAAATCACTAAAAATAATCCAAATCAACCCTGCTCCATAGCTGCAAAATCACTGAGGTATTCCTTAAGTACCATAAGTTTTGGCCTCAAAAGATCCCAAGGATTCAAGTCATATCTATGGCTTGGATAAAATTTGCACCATTTACACCAGATCTGGATTTGACCCTTTTCCCTTTTATTTCAGGACCAGTGCTGGCCCACAATTTTTTGGGGCCCCCTGCAAGAAATAGTTTTGGGGCCCCCTGCCACAAAGAAGCCAGATAGCTTAGCTGTGGGGCCCCCTGCAGCTGCAGGTTTCACAGTATAGGATGTGCCAGCCCTGTTTAGGACAGACATATAAAGAAAGAAAACACCCTCTCCCCATGCTTATTCATTGCAAAAAAAGCATCTCATAAATGTTCATTCAACCCAAACTGCTTCATAAGATAATACTAGCTACTGGGAGGTGTATGATGATATCAAATGACCATGAATTATTCATGTTATGATGAAGTATTTTTACTGAACACTGGTCTTTGTATCCTAAAATATTTATAATAGACAAAAACTACCTCTATTTCCCACAGCGCTTTGGAACTTGTTGCAGAAGTGGCTGACTGACGCAATGTTGTGCGAAGAAATATATATTGATTCTTCTCATATTCATCACAAGTCAGAAACTTCTCTTGCTCTGCATGAAACAGTCTAACAACATCTCCCTGGAAGAATATGAAAGGGAAGGGTTACTAAATGGAAAACAAAGCAATGAGATTCTCTAGGTCAGGCTGTGAACCACGTAAAACTGGAACAGCTCCAACAACACCATAAGAATCAATGGGAATGTTGAAGTGGGTTCCATTTACTTTTTTTTTCTGTTGCTGAGGGAGGTCACGTTTCAGTTTCACAGAAAATGAACAGGCTAGAATTTGAAAATGTATGCTGAGAGAAAATATATAAAATGGTAATAGAATTTTAAAAAACCCTACTTCAAAGAATAGTGATGACAATGAAAAGACAATGAGAATACACCTGTGGTCACAACTTCATGCTGATTTTCAAATTTTAGGAGACTGTTTCAATTGAGTTTCTGTTTCACTCCTCCTCACAACTTTGGCCCTGCATTCTGCCAAGGAAACAATGCCCCAGCTATTCCTGCACAAGGAGTTGTTTGCAAAAGGCTGAGTGCTCGTGCTACCATGCTGAAGAATCATGTTTACCAGGGACCTCGCCAGCTCATGAGGCTTCCACTGCCTTTCTCAACTTTCTTGAAATCTCAGCTGCTCCAGCTATTATCACACAGGCTCTCCTCTTTCACTTTTTGGCCTCCTATACTCTGCAGTACTACCCCTTCTCAACTCTCCTTCTGCCTAACTGGTTGTTCCATCAGGGAACAACCAGTTGAGAGAGGGTAATGCTTTTCTCCTCTACCTTACCTCTCTCATAACTAAAGCCAAAGCGACAGGTGCAATTCTCCACTGTCTTCCACACTATGTTACTTCTTACATCTTCAGGTTTTTAGAATATGCTAGAGTTCTGATCCAGTTGCATTATATATGGTTGGAAAACAGGAGCAAATAATTATGCCAACTGCCAGGCAATGGAGAATCAAGGCTCTCTCTCATCTCTGGAATGCAAGCTTGGACTCCTTCCTTCACCTTGCTCCATACACCCAGGCCAAGTCAACTTCATCCCACTTCATCTCCCACAACCTTTTTAAGATTCCACCTCTCCTCTCTGCTCAGACAGTTCTAATTCTCATTCCCACTTTATCATTTTCCATCTTAAAAACTGCAACATCCAGGCCTCTGACCTTTCTGCTAATTGCATGGCCTCTCATTCCCTCAAAGAAAACAGCCACCCATCATAGCCCTCGTCTCCAAATCCCCCTAATTATATCCCTCTTTTCTATTGTATCAGATACAAGCTTCATCCTTTCAAGGCATTTCACAAGACTGCCCTCAGTTGTTGCTCTTGTCTGTCACTGTAGTGTACATATCCCCCCTGCTGGGGTGCCAGGAGTAGCCACTTTCTAACAATTACAGCTCAGAAAACTGCAGGAGGTGGTGGTATGCATTATGAGGTAGTGACAATAATCTGTTAAAATGCAGGATATCCAGTTTTTGCTTTAGAGACAGTTTTCGATTTCTTGTTGTTTGCAATATTTTACTTAGGAACAGTTAACCTGAGGATGTCATAATAGCTATGAATCTTGAAATTAAAGTTTAAAAATATGTAATTTATACTTACTCCTTTAAGTACATCATCTCGGTAGCTACTGTATTTCATGAACAAAGTTATTTTCCAGCTTGTATTGCAATTTACAGCATTTACCTGTTGTAAAAATATATGTATATAACTAAAGGTTTGGAAGCTGTTTGATCTCTTAACAATGTTTTACTCACTTTAATATGTAAATGGCAGCAGTAAAATCTTTGAGGTAGAGACCATCATTTGTGCAGTACCATGAAAGCAGGCCCCAAGCTTGCTATCCCATTCAACGTGATAACTGAACAGTGACAATGAAGGCTGTCCAGCAGGCAAAATGTTATGTTCTGTTAGGGTCCAGTCTTGCAAACATTTACATCTGGTTGCAGTGTTTACTAAGGAACCAGGACTTGGGGGTCTGCTACATCAGTGAGTCCCTGGTACTCCTGATATTGATTGCTCCCAAGAATCTTCTACCCTCCTGGTCCAGTTCACATACATCAAACTCAGAAAGGTTCCTTGTGGGCATTCCCCAAAGCCGCTCTCAAGAACAACAGAGACCAAGGTCTTGAGAACACCTGAGGCAAGGACATTCCCAAAGCAGTTTCACTGCTGGATTTGTAGGTTTGGCACACACGAAGTGGGGGAAATGAGAGGGGAGCATGCTAGGGAACATCCCACCTTGAGAGTTCATGAATGTAGCGTGCACATGCCCTCAGATACTCAAGAGCCTTCAGGAGGCACCTGCTGCCATGCAAAATTTTGCCTTGAATAAACACACTTTGGTTTTCATTTAGATTAGCAAGTGGACCATCCATTTTCTCAGTGGTAGTGTCAGCAGAGCTGAGGCTGGTGTATGTTGTTGGCTTTTAGCTTATGATGGGGCAGGGAATACCACATTGTGCCATGGCAGCTACACCTCTTATGTGGAACTTACCTCCTTGCAGCCTGGGTTATCCAAAAGCTCTATACTGCTGGCATGCAGAGGCTGTCCTGCATTGACTGGCATCAATACAACTTTGTCCCCCACAACAACCTGGAGGTCAGAAATAAATGACTATTTAGACATATGTAATTATCCAATGAAACAAAGTAATACTAATTTTTTTTAAAACTTGATTCAGCATGCTCAGATCACTTGGCCAAATTATGGTGCAGCTAACTCATGGATCAGGGAACCCTTTCCAGTCAGTCAGATTATGCAATTTGGCAGGTTTCAAGATTTCACACTAATAAATCTCATCAATCTCAATGAACTTGCTACTCAATTATTCAACAATGACTTGGGGGTGAAAAATAGTCCTGGGGGCCTATAAATTCCAGTTCTGTAAAAGCAACTAAATCCAGATAGAAGTGGCTCTAACTGATCTCCACTCCCAAGTACTATGAGCCAAACAGCAAGCAAACCCTGAAAATAATCTGGAGTTTGGCACCAGGATACATCTACATCTCTTGCCCTGAATCACCATTTCCCAAAATATATATATAAATACTTGATTCCACAAGAGCCAAGATTTTCCTGCACCAAAATCTATAACTGCTATGGTCTCAGATCTGGAATGAATTAAAGTAGCCTCAGGGGTACTATAAATTACATCCACTGGCTGTTTCCCTAGGGATTATTCACCATTTGAAAATCAGAGAAGTGTAAGCACACCCTTCCCTCTGCCTTGAAATTCACAAAACAAAGGGGCTGCTGTTTGGCACGGGGATCAGATATGCCAACAAAAAGATTCTCCTACCCCAGACTAGGGGAATTCCCTGATGACCAGCTACAGTCAGATTCTAGCCCCTTTGCATTGCCTAAACTGCAAATGGAAGTTAGTTCTGAAGAAATCATTAAAAATAGTCTCCAACCTAAAACTGTAGTGATGTGTCTTAAGAATTCAGCTCATACCTGAGGAAGGAAATAAATTCAAACAGAGTAACACCATTAGCTCTGCTAAAACTTTGGTGCTGGTGCTTGGATTTGGCTACAGAATTCACAGTATGTCTAAGCACACATATAGACACATGCACGTAAAAACTACAAAGTGCCTAATAAAAACCGTGATCTAAAAACTGCCAGGTGAAATGCTGCGTGAGCCATGCTTCTTCAGAACACAAATGCACACAGATGATTTCTGCATTGATCAACATTTGCCATGAACACACTGAGCCAAATTCATCTTTTGTGGAACATCACAGAAATTAACACAGATGAATACAGCACATTTTTGAAGGGGGTGAAAAAATAGGTTTCACATTCTTTAACAAGAGTTAAATAGACATCGGTTTTAAAATGGTGCCATCATGCTCAGAATACATACAAAATCCTATCATATCTCAGAAAAAAAAGAAATTAATTAAAGAAATCCAGGATAATGACAAAAAGGTGCATTTACAGTGCATTATGTATACAATACATTCCTGCATGCCATGCTTCAGATAGCCTCTACTTACAGCAATATATGAAGTTAAGACCACACAATTCATTTATCAAAATAAATCACCAGGCTTGCATCCTGCAGAGTTGAGTCAGGACTTCAAACTCCACTGAAAATACAGCTGTATTATAACAATAACAGGACTGAGAAATACACACTTCTAAGCATCCCATTTAAACAAAGGTCTTTGAGGAGACTGAAGAGGGACAGGATTGAGGAGAGAGACACAACTCTGATGCCCTCAACACACAATGGGAAAGAAATTGTGACTTGATCTCACAATGCCAGCCTCAATCTCCCACCTGCCTTCTTCAAGTCCACACCAGCACCTTCTCATCTGTGCTGGCTCAGCTATACTGGCTGACATACTGACAGACTGGGTGACAGTCCATGCTGCTGCCATTTTGCTTCCCACCTCTACAGAAGTGATTCCATAGACACTGCTTCTCCACCCCCACCCCCAGACTCTGAAGAAATAAAACCACAGAGAGCAACAAAAGGACAACTTATTCTTCTGCATGGCTACCTTGGGCCAGCTTCAATTTATTCTAATAAGAAAAAAAAATGAAAACGAGAGCTGTAATATCCCTAAAAGGCAGATGGGGTTTCTCTTGCATAGGGAAATAACAATTCCTTCCTGTCCACCCTCTGGTATAGAGGACATGCTAGCCATAGAAGGCAGAACCAGAACCTGTTACACTCTTGAAACCATGGGCTAGTGAAGTAGCATCTAGGAGGGCTAGTACTGGTGGTGTAATTCAGAGCAACCTCAAGGTCCAATACAAATCTGGAGTAATGACACCTAGATATCTCTGCAGATATAATGTGACCAAGAAGTGTGACTACAACAGTCATAGGCATAACCAGGAGCCTTAATATCACTTGAATGTATAAAATTACCAGTAAAAGTGCAGCAACAGGGACTTCAGCACTGGCTAGCTAACTGGGGTGGGTACCCCAAAGTCCCAAACAGGCCTGTACAGCCCAAGTTTAAGCCTGTCCTGTGCATGTTAGGTTCAACCATCCTGCAGGTTGCTGGGTACCTGAGCATCTTCACCACTCTTGGCATATGACCAAATCTAATGTTAAGCAAATTAGAAGTGGCAGAGGACCAAAAATCCACAGTCAATACTGAGTAAATCCTGCTTGAGATGAAGTCACAGGGAGTTTAGCTAGTCACTCCTACAGAGATAGGTTGTAGCCTCAATCAATCAAAAAATCCTATTGATGTAAGATGTCATTTTGCTCAACTAAGGATGTCAGAAATTGGCTCAGAATTGCTATCAGTTACTGTAAAGTCGCAGTAATACCCTTTCATTATTTTTTGACTTACATAACTAATTGGATGTTATAATGAACCCAAGCCATAGACTGTCTGAATGATTCAACCAGCCACCTATAAAAATGCTCCAGAGATGTATTTTTTATCATATATAAAGAAAGTTCCTTCTTTTAGAATAAAAAGAAAAGTAAACCTCACAATTTTAAGCAGCCATGGTGAGCTATGATACAAATCTCATACACTCCAGCAGCTCCCAGGGGAATGTATTGTAAATAGGTGTACTGGTCCCACAATGAACCATAGCTTCCTTTGTTGAGACATGATGGCCCGTCATTAATCTGTATTTGCACAATTTGTCTTAGACTATCAGATGTAAGGTGAGAATCATCCAGATAATATTCTGAAGTTTTAAGGACCAGCTATAAAGATTTTCTAAAGTGTATGTTATTAAAGATATTTTGCTTTTTTTAACACAGAAAATTAAATTATAAAAACACATTTTGTCCAAATAAAGTCGGACACAACATTCAATCTAGATGCTAAGATGAAGGGGAATGAAAGCAGTTTAACCGAAAGTCTGTCTTTAACTCGTCCATTGGGTTACCCTTCAAATGGGCCTTGTTTATGCAGTGCCAAGTGGTTTGAAAGAAAAGCACTACATAAATTGGCTGATAAAGGAGCAAGCAAGTGGTAAGTATTTGCTACCCAATACAGGAAGGAATGGGTGCACAAAAGATCCTGCCTGCTAGGGCTGTGCAAAGCTTTGGTCGCTGATTTGGCCCAATTCGGTGGTTGAATCTCCGAATCCAGATCGAATCAAGGGACCGTTTAATCTCTCCGAATCAAATCAGAACCCTCCAGATCAATTCGGAGAGATTAAGAAAGATTTGACGATTCAGACATAGACACAGTTTTAAATGTTTTTCCTACATACCTCAAGGGACCAGGCAGCTCGTGAATGCTGAGGCAGATGGAGCGTCCTACAGGAGCATGGGGGGCTCCCCAGCACACTCCGCAGCAGACCCAGAAGTGGACCAGAAGCACTTCCAGTCCACTTCTGGGTCCGCTGGGGAGTGCGCAGGGGGCTGGTGCCTCCTGGGTCTGGGAGGGCACATGGGGTCCCCTCAAGGCCGATCGCCGAGCCAGGAACTCAGCAGGAGATCTGGAAGTGGACCAGAAGTACTTTCAGGTTCACCACCAAGCACACAGGGCCCCTACCCCCTGCACTCCTGTGGGACACTCCATCCGCCCCAGCATCACAGCATTCACAAGCTGCGCCTGGTACCTCAAGACATGTAGAAAAAACATTTAAACCTTGTCTACACCCAAATCACTGATTCTCCAAATCAGCATCTAATCTTCAGATTTGGATTCAGCCGAATAGAATCAGGCACAGTGATCTGAATCAACTAATTGAATCTCCGTCCCCAATTCGGGCCAAATCTGAATCAAATGAGGCCTATTTTGCACACCCTTACTGCCTGCTGCATGACAGATAGGAAGGGATGTTGCTGCTGGGACAAGTGGAGAGTTCCTGCAGTGTTCCTACATCCTCCCAGTAGCAAGGCTCCCTGTTCCTAAAAGGGCAGCCTGGAGGGAAAGTCTAGGGACTTGCCAGTCTGATTTGACACTCATAGGTAATAGAGATGGTGATGAGACTCATCTGAGGAGGAGTCAGAAAACTGTACTATGTGTCTGCCTGGCGGGGCACATAAGGGAGCATTTCCAGCTCAGCACAGGAGTGTTTGGAAACAGGAGAGACTTAGAGCCTGTGTGAGGGAGAGGTGTAAGCAGTAGGTATGCTCATGCAGGAGTCCCGGATCAAGGCAAAAGGCCTGACTTCCTATGCAACTCTGATGGATAGCTTGCAGCAAGCTAGGAAAGAGAAAGACACAGAAAGGTTTGTCTCAACTCCCAGCTAAATAGTTTTTGGAGTTTGACCCTGAATGGAGAAGACAGGTGGCTGCACAAGACCCTGGGTCATTGGGGATGGAATAGGACTCACTGGGTGTACTTGCATTATTCAGAAGTACAACCAGAAGCCCTGAAAAACAGGGGGCTGAAATCCTTTGGTTAGGGGTGTATTTGTTGCTGAGCTCAGGAGCTAGCTGCAGCTTATGGTTCCCTGCATGAGGGCTGCAAAGGCCATTTTTTTTCCACAAGGCAGGGGAGAGAGGGAAAAAACACCAACTTGGGGACCCACTCCAGTCCTCTAAAATAAGCCCTACATAGAAAGGCCAGAGTTTTATTCACTTCATTCAGAAAAAGCTGAAGAAGTGACTGGCTTTCTCCCTATACCTCTCATATATATAGCTCTACCTTAAGAGGACACAAGCAGCTGAACATATTGAAGAAATGCAGCATACTTGCTAGAAATATGCCCTGTTGCCTTTTACACTGAATGTTTTTAAAGTTTGTAAGTTCATTTCAGAATCTAATGGCTCTTTTCTCACAACCCCACCACTCCCATACACGACAGACAAATTCTCAGGTGGTATAAATCAGCACAGCATTGCAGAAGTCAGTTACACCATTTACACCAACAGAAATTATTTCCTGTTATGCAATATTCTAGAGAGCAGAATCAAACCACTATTTTCACTATGTAATTTGATGTGACATTCTATATTTATACAATGTATATTAAGCAAAGACATTATTGAAAAATAAATGTCCCATTTCTTTGAGGGACCTGATTGATGCCAGTACTTAAGAAAGTAAAATTTTTCCTGCAATTCTCTGTTTTCTCCCAAACAACTTATCTTATGCCCAGTATTTTCACCTACATTGTCCCCTTCACTCCTCAGTTTCCAAAATGGCTGGATGTAAAACCACGACCCCTCATTCCCTGCAGTATCCAGTGAGACCCGCATAGCATTCTTCTCCAACAGAGCTGGTAATCTCTTATTGACTGTGAGGTATTTGTTGCTTTTTATGTGCAGTAACTGTGGATAAAACAAATAATTAGGATTTCTCTTATCTTCCTTCTCCTAGTCAGGAAAGGGGATTGTTTAAAAGCATTATAGCTATTGTTCATCCTTTTCATAAAGAAAAATAAAGACAAAAATCAATCCAGAAATCACTATCAAAGTCTACTGAAAAAACTGTTACTGTATCTAAGACCCAAAAAGGAACAGAAGAAAACATTAGTGATGAGATTATATGGTATATTATATTCTATGCATAAAGGACACCTGTTAATGAGATTATTCAACCCCATGTGTTGAGGAAAAGTTTTATACTGCTTGAGAACATAAGCTCTCACATTTATATCACAAAGAAAAAATGATGCCAGTTATTCAGTTTAAGTTGCACAGCAACTTTTCAACAATTATACTGACATATATAGTGGAAATAAAATATGTATATTTACATCCCTATTCCAGATGGAAGCAACAAAAACCGCATGCTGAAATGCACGTTATTGCAAATAAATTAGACAACAAATATGCAATAGTTCTGGTAATCTTTAAAAAAAGAAACACAAATACAATATTACAACTTCTACCAAGTTTTGTTTACCTGCTCTATGACAACCAGAACTGCAATGGTTAGTTTCATGTCTCCAGTCCCCTCTGACATGAAACAACTGTTTTCTTTCCACCCCTGTATTTCAATGATTTACCTGTATAACATTGCTGTATTTGACGATTTCACCCAACAACTTTCTGTTCTCACTTTCATTCTGCTTCTGCTCTAGTTCTGCTGCATGCTGCAAAGGAATCATTATTTGTTTAAATAGAAGATCAATAATAGGAGGCAGCTGCTGGAATGGTTAACAAATAAAGGAAATGGCACCACATTAAAAAAGCCTTCTTCAATCTGCAGAGTTTATTTGCACTAGAAATAAAAACCATTTAAATGAAGTCTCTCTTTCTACAATAGACTACTATTCACTATAAATCACCTAGATGCTGTATAATCATTCAAGTTTTTATACTATCCAGAATATACTCAGAAATATAAATTATTTCTCAGTGCTGTATTTTATCCCAAATTTTAAAAACGTAGGGCTGCTTCTCCACCTCACTTTCTCTTGTAAGGCAATCAATATTTTAAAAAAGAATGCTTCAAAAAGGTACAGATACTATAATCCTAAATGCTTCTTGTTTTCCAACTATTTAAGCTGGTCTAATAAAAGATATCAGATTCACCCAAAGAACCTTGTCTACCTATGTCCTTAGACCAACACGGCTACAACCTACACTCCAATTATGTTAGCTTTCACAGCTAACATATATTCCAAGTATATAGTTCCTTCATCCAAGATTTTCAAAAACACTTCAAAGTACATACTGAAATTATACCTATTTTATAGAAGCTTGAAGCACTGATTCTGAAGTGCCATGTGCTGACAGACAATTGTGCTGCCAAAAGTCCCAGTAACCTCAGAAGGGCTCAGTACAAGCAGACTAATATGCTCACATAAGACATGTCACAAGATCAGAAGCTAAGGCAAATGCTTAAGTTCAAGAGGAATCAGGTGCAGAGTTCCAATTTCTAGTTCCCTAGTTCAAAGCACCCTACCTCCCCATTGTTGGTCTTTCCCTTTGCCTTGGGGTAGTAATGCTGAATGATGCCCCTTTCTTGTGTAACATCATGTCAACAGGTCAGCCTGTTTCACCCAACCTCTGAGGCTGTCAATTCAATCCCTTTCCAGTGACAGAATTGCTTCCCCATAACCATTGCGTCTTGTGCCAGAGACATGTCCATGTGATACTAAGCAAGCAAGAAAAAATCATTTAGGCCTGCGATTCCCAAACTCTGGAGACCTACAAAGCACTACAACATCTCAACATTTATCATAAACCATCAAGCACCCTCATCATCAAACTTTTAATTGAAAAGGGGGGAGCTCTGCACTACTTTGGGTGCTACTGATTTGTGCCAGAGATAAGAAAAACAGCCTTACTGGAGACATTTGTATTAAAGGTATAGGAAATGGCCCCTCTGCCCAACTCCTAGATTTCAAATCTAAAATGACCCACTGAATTTTAATAAGGGCCTGATCCCCATTAACTCAGTTTGTTCTTTAATAAGCAGACATAATGCCAAAAAAGTTCCTGAAAGCAAATAAAGACACTGCTCCCACTCCAAGAAGTTTATCCTCTGAGGCAGGACAAAGAGAGGAAATAAAAGCCAGTTGAAGAGGCAAGCGGGCAGGGAAAGGAGAACATAAAGGAAGTCCTCATATGGACCAATCATCCTGGTCATTCCCAAGGCATTTGCTATTGTTGTTGCATGATACTGTTAGTCTAGAGCCTGCAGATTAAGATAAAACTACAAATACAGCTGTCTCTTACTTGTAGTTTCTTAAGTAATGCTGCTTCTGTGTGGTTTCCTTGCTTCGCCTGTTTGGCTTTCCAGTACTGCTTTTGTGCCGAATACCGGTTCATAGGACACACCTTGAAAAGGCAGTCTGCAGAAAATTGATAAAATACCTATCAATAGTGTTGACAGACACTTCTCTTCTGTATTAGATGCTTTTCTATGCAATATCGTGTTATCACTGTGTTCAGGCATAACTTAGATTAGATGGAAAAGATTGAGAGTAATGATTCTATGATTCTATTCTGTACCATAACTGTGAAAAAACAGCTGAGTCAACTATAAATCCTTGTGCAGCTCCTAGCTTCCTGAGTGATTATGTAACTTCCCTACAACCCCAACACCAAGCTGTAGTCCACAAGCAATATGCCAAACTGCATGCCTTTTCACCCTACTCTTTACCTTGGCATGGTCTTGTGTTTGTATTATTTGAAAACATGTTACTTCTGCAACCCTGAAAATAAACATCCTAGGTTTTTGGTTTCAAACATCTGGACCCCAGTCCTTTTGGTACTGCTAAAACAAAAAAAAACTAGAGTCAGTCAGATGCAAGCTATTAGGAATGTTAACACTGTGGCCAGTTCCCTCAACTGGTTAAAAAACAGGATAAATAGCAGAGTAATGAAAGCTGATCTCCAACTTTTGTTCTATCATTTAGAGAGTTAGATTTAAGGGTTGCAAACAATATCTGCTCATTATCCCACAGCAGCAGGGTTGATTCCAAAGTTTTCTGCTGTTCTTAATAAAATGCCCTTTTCTCATTCCTTACAGTCATATAAAGAAACATTCCACAGACCCAGACAATAATGTACCTTGCACAGACATTTTTCCAGTACAAACTGAGCAATTTACCACCTTTAATGTATTTGTCTTGAGAACACGGAAAGTATTGCTAGCCCCATGTCACAAATGGGGTACTGCTGAGCAAAAAGATGAAGGATGAGATGCAGAGAAGCTATTTGGGTACTTAAAGCAGTACTTAGATGAATTTTAGGTGTCTAAGGGACAGACATTCTTTGGGTATCTTTAAGTCCAATTCTCTTCCACCCTATTCAAGTCACTGAAAATCCACCTACTTTTGTAACACACCATCATCTTACCCTTGAGAGTAAGTCACAAGTAAGCAGTAAGAAGGTCTCCCACACCTTTTGCATTAATACCTTTTCAGTAACTCAAGAAATATGGAATATGATCATACTGTGGTATCTACATCCATTTACATGCCTAAGAGTGGGAATACAACCTGGCCCTAAATCCACAAAATTAATCCAGGAAATCCTACTTACTACCTGCCCCTAAAGACACCTGAATTAATTTAGCATTTACACATTGGGCTTATGTGCCTAAAGATGGGCTCTGACACATGAAGAGAAGCATCCCAGTCTAACCAGCTAGGCACCTAGCTCTACAGAGGTACAGCTACAAGGAGGAGCAATGCCTAAATACTGCCTCCAATCCATAATGTCTACTCAGAGCATGTGAGCCACAGCCACTGTCACTAAAAACACAGGAGGCAGAGGCAATGTTCCCTCTAAGGAGTAGTGGTCCGCGGTCCGTAAGCACACCGCTTCAGTCCGTGAGCGCGCCACTTCAGTCCCACCTCCCCCTTTCGACACGGCACGGTCCGCCGGTAAGTGTCCAGGTGGGAGCGGGCAGGGTTCGGCCACCACCCTTCTCCATGCTAACTGCTGCCCAGAGCAGCGCAGTGGAGTGCTGTGGGGCAGTCATGGGCTGGACACAGTCAATCAATAGAATGCGGTGTTTCTTCCGGGCATGCACTGTGCTTGGTGCAAGGGCACACCAAGATTTAAGTGCCATTTTGGGGGCGGGGTTGACATCTGTAAGCAGCCAAAATGTTTTTAATACTATGACTTCCTATGTGAAATCTCTAGGTTTATTTTGTGAATCATATTTGCACACCCAACAGTGTTAACATTGGGTGGCACCCCACAGGACCCTTGAAACGATCTCAAGAAATCCCAGGGTGCTAGAGCAGCCTGGTTGAGGGTCACTGGTCTACAGACTCCAGAAGTCTGTGCCACATCTAGAAAGATGGTTGACCATCCATATAAACTGCAGATATCTCATTTTGGTTATTTTCCTGGGGAACAGCAGGAGTCCCTCAGAACTGCTCCGCTCCCCCACATCGCCTTGGGGAGCGAGGAGGCACATGGCGTCAGGGCTGGGGAGCAGAGCAGTTCCCCAGAGCCAGCAAGCCTGTGGAGCAGTTCCCCGGAGCCAGCAGAACCTGTGCCAGCCCCAGCCCCAGCCCCTGCCTTGCCTCACCTCAGAGAGGAGCCGCTGCCTGCCCCGCATGAGGCTCTGCCGGCTCCAGGGAACTGCTCCGCTCCCCAGCCCTGATGCCACGTGCCTCCTCGCACCCCGGGGTGATGCAGGAGAGCAGAGCAGTTCCCCAGAGCTAGTGGAGCCCGTGCCAGCCCCCAGCCCCCGTCTCCTCCTTGCTCTATGCCTTGGTGCAGGAGAAGCGAGGTGGTAGGGAGCTAGCCGCTCTGGTACTCAGCCATCCAACCCTGTAAGTGTATCTGTATAAATGTAGCATGGATTTAGACAACAGATCAGAGAGGGCAAAGGAGGTCAGTAATTGGACCTTCCGTGTCTCAAGGAATGAGGAAGCTCCTCTCTGCCACAGCCTCCCCTTTCAGAATTCTCCCTCCCTCCTCTTGCGTCTGAACTGGGGTTGCAGCTGGTACAGAAATCATAAGAAGTGCTTCCTCCTCTTTACACCAGCAGATACTTCTGTCAAAGCAGAAATTCTCCACAGGCCAATTTAAGGACACTGTGTAGTGCTTATGTGGTACAAACTGTTCCTTAGCTAACAAGAATCCAGTTACGAGTGTGTTTGTTTACTTACCTATTATTGAACTTAGACTTAGATGATCACACAGTTAAAGGCACAGTGATCAAATATCAAAAATCATTTAAAAATAACCCCTGTCAGCAACTCCCTACAGTCCTCTCAAAAAACACTCACTTGCCAGAAGTCCCATATAATGCCAGTTAGGACTAAATTTTAGGTACTTGAGCATTAACAACTAGGACCAAAACTCAAGCTTAGCACGCACTTTATTGTTGTGCTGAACATCTAAGTGCCTCTACTAAATATACTGAAAATTTAGTTTGCATATTTTCTACAACATAGTTAACTATTATCTTAATCTCTGTTTGTTACTATCAGAAAGAAGTCAGTATTTGTAACCTGGGGAAACTAATGCAATGCAATGCTAAGTCCTGCTTTTAACCACTGAACTAAATCAGTAGTCAATGACACTGCCTAATAGGGCTGTTCAAAGCTTCGGATCATGATTCAGACTCGGAGATGATTCAGATGATTTGGAGACCGAATCTAGGAATCCAAATCAAATCGCGGGAAGCTTTAGGCTTTCCGAATCGATTCAGAAAAGATTCAGGGATTCGGCCATACGGTATAATGGGGAATCAATGAAATATCTATAACTTTGTTGTATTTTGGCTGATTCAGATGAAACTTGCAGGTATGGTAGCCTCTGCTGAGTTTCAAGGTGATAGGTGCAGGGGTTTCTGGGAAACTGCACCCCAAAGTTCTGAAAGCAAAACGTGTGCATGTTAAGCCACAGTTGGCTGTAAACTGCAGAGATGGTAGCCCTTGCTGAGGCCACGAAGCCCGCCAGCTGTCAACGAGATAGGTGCAGGGGCTTCTAGGTTCTGGGGCCCTGCAGCTCCGGCTGCTGACGGGCAAAACTCATGCCATAGCTTGTGCAACTGTGTCTGTCTTGGGGAACTGGCGTGGGGGGGATGGAACTACTGCAGGCCTGGCTGCTAAACTACTGTGTTACCAATCAATCATGATTCACTCAGGGACCAGCTCAATACACAGTAGCTAGCTAGTAGCTACTGGATAATGAGTTAATGAGCATGCATTAAACACCTACAAAACCACAAACTAAGGAGACGAAATAATCAATACAGAGCTGAACTGCTTCTGCTCCAAGACAGAGACAGTCAGTTGCCCAAGCACCCATGTCACGAGCACTGCCTGTCAGCAGCTAGGGGTGCAGGGCCCCAGAACCCCTCCACCCATCTCCTTAACTGCTGACAGACTTTGTGGCCTCAGCAGGGGCTATCAGGCCTGCAGCTTTCACCCTGCTGTGCCTTAACACACAGTGTCACCCATGTCACAAGCTTTACTTGTCTGCAGCTTGTGGTACAATTTCCCTCAGACCCCTACACCTATCTCCTTGAAACTTGGCAGGCTTTGTGGCCTCAGCAGGGGCCACCACCCCTGCAGTTTTCACCCTGCTGTGGAGTAACACCCACATGTGACATGAGTTTTGCTTTCACAAATTTGAGGTGCAGTTTCCCCCAAACCCCTGCACCTATCTCCTTGAAGCTTAGAAGGCTTCATGCTCTCAGCAAAGGCTACCATCCCTGCAAGTTTTATCCAAATCAGACAAAAAACAACAAACTTATAGATATTTCATTGATTCCCCATTATACCCTATGGCCGAATCGGCTCCAAAGCTTTGGAGCCAATTCAGCCAAATCGAAGCAGGAAACCGATTCACAGCTTCGAATCGAATCACTGGCATCTGAACTGGCCAAATCCAACTCCTAATCAAATAGTTCCCTATTCACACAGGCCTACTGCCTAAGTTAACCACCATCCCTTTTCTGAGTACAACCTGTCAATCCACAGCAGCACATACAGAAATTCCCAAACACCATGTTTGTAGTAGAATGCATTTCCTGATGCTTTCCTTTGAGACTGAGTGAAATCCAAGGCCATGTCTAGATGAGCTCAGATGTTTTTTTCCCCCAGGACAAGTAGCAGTGGCACACCTTGTGCCACTGCTAACTGTCCCTGGGGAACGCCTGTGCCACGTGCGCTTTGGCATGCAGTAGGTTACCCCATTTGGGGTACGGGAGGCTGAGGCCAGCAACTGTGCTGGCCCCAGCAGCCTTATCTGGAGTCCTGGGGACCTCCTGGGCTGCAGACATGGCAGGAAACCTGGCCAGCAGCCAGAGAATGGCTCCAGCTGCCCAAGCTCTGGTTTTCGGCAGCACACACCATCCCACTTTTTCTTCAGTGTGGGT